CCCAAAAATATGGTTGGAGGAACCTTAAGATTTATTTCCGTTTGCATTTAAAAGTGAGTAAAATGAAATGCAGGCAACATGATCACTTTTTCTTCTCTTTTGTTGAAAATTAAATCAAATCACAAGTTTATGGGCCATCTCTATACCTGTCATCCATCTTTCTTTCTTTCTTTCTTTCTTTCTCCTTCATTTCCTTCTTTCCTTCCTTCCTTCCTTCTCTCAGTCTCATCCCTTCCCCTTCCTTCCTTCCTTCCTTCCTTGCCTTCTTTCTCTTTCTTTCTCCTTCATTTCCTCCCTTCCTTCTTTCCTTCCTTCCTTCTCTCAGTCTCATCCCTTCCTTCCTTCTCTCAGTCTCATCCCTTCCTTCCTTCCTTCCTTTTTTCTTTCTTTCTTCCCCTGCCTTCCCCTTCCATCCTTCATTCCTTTCCTCTCTTTCCTTTCTCCCTTTCCTCTCCTTCCTTCCTTCCTTCCTCTGCTTCCCATTTCCTTCCTTCTTGATGTACCTCTGTTGTACAATAACAGCAAAATGGAGGTGATGTGGTCCAAATTCAATCATAGAACACCCTCCCTTTTTAAAAACCATTGATAAAAATACAAGTTGCTTCCCCAAACGTGTGCTCCATGAGGCCCAGCAAAGGACCAGGGCTCCAAAATTTGCAGATGTTTCATTACCCAAACTAGGCAACATCATCAGGACTCCTCATTTCATCCTAAAGCTACAAATATTCTCCTTTAGTGGCAGCCTCCCTCCCTCTGTTTTTTCTAGCTCCCAAGATAAGCTCCAAGCAGCAGGTCCTGTTCTTGAGTCAGCTTTTTTTTTTTTTTCTCCTCTTGCTAACTGCCAGCTGATGGGCAGTTTAATAAAAAATGACAAGAAGGAAAGAATTTATCTTCCTGCGGTGTTTGTGCCGTGCCTTTTGGCCTTGTCTTAATCACTGTGGAGAATGCAAAAGCGATTAAAAAAGGAGGGGAAGGAAGAAAGAAAAAAGGGAACAGACGAGAAAAGTGGATCGTGTTAGAATTACAGCCTCTTGAGGCTTTGGAATATTTGCCCCGAAGGAGGTCTGTGAATCCCCATAGGGTTGGCTTCCAATGAAAAAGGAACACTGAGACAGGTGGTGAGATTTGAGTTTTCCTTCAAGGAATAGAATAGAATAGAATAGAATAGAATAGAATAGAATAGAATAGAATAGAATAGAATAGAATAGAATAGAATAGAATTAGAGTAATGATAAGAAGAATAGAATAGAATAGAATTAGAGTAATGATAAGGAATAGAATGGAATAGAAGACAATAGAAATAGAATAGAATAGAATAGAATAGAATAGAATAGAATAGAATAGAATAGAATAGAATAGAATAGAATAGAACCTCTAGTCCTACTCTTCTTCCTGGTGTTTTTGATTCTTTCTTAAAGCCATAGGGTCACTGATGCACTTTATCCCTCCCTCCCTGCTTCCTCCTCCTCCTCCTCCTCCTCTTTCCCCAGCCCATCATCCACGCTCCTCATCCAATAAAGCAACATTACCAAACTCATGTTTCTTCCCTGAGTTGCCATGGCAACCTGCGAGCTGGCGATGTCAGATGACCGAATCCCAAAAGGATGGATGCTCAAGGCTGGGAGGAAGTGACTCCTAGCGAGGACACAAATTGTGGGTTCGCGCCCCTCCCCAGCCCCGTTGAGACCAGGGCCCCGACGCACGTTAATGCCCTTCCTTTTGCAAAAGATTTGGCGTGTGATTCAAAGGGAAGAGGAGAAGAATCTTGTGATACGACCTCTTCCTGCTGGCAGCTCCCGTTATTTGCCTCAGCTCCTGCCCTCCTAGCAATTCGGAAGCACGCAAATGAGAGTAGATCAATAGGTACCACTTCGGTGGGAAGGTAACAATGTTCCCTGCTCCTCAGCGTACAATTACGCCGGCTGCATGACCGGGGAAATGTCTTTGGACAATGCTAGCTCCTTTGGAGAGGCAATGGAGATGGCAAGGGAAACTTTGATCTTTGTGTACCTGTAAATGATTTACCTTGAATCCCATGTATTTTTGGAGTGCTGTTTCTCCAAGCATGCTGTTCTGTATCAAAATGGATGGTGCCCAGTAAGGGTTCAGCGCTGTGCCTTAAACTGTTAGCAGAAAAGCTAATCACAGCCACACAACTGATTTATTCTCCAAAGCAGCAGAGGACAGGACCAGAAAATAAAGGGTAGAAGTTCCTCAGAAGGAGGTCCATCCTAGAACTAAGGGGAAATGTCCTGACAGTAAGAACAATCAACCAGTGGAATGGCTTGCCACCAGAAGTTATGGATGCTCCATCACTGCAGGTTTTCAAGAAGAGCCGTTTCTCCAGAATGGTATACTGTTTGAGCAGGGGGTTGGACTAGAAGACCTCCGAGGTCTCTTCCAACCCTATTATCCTATGTTCTGTTAAAGGAGTCCCCAAAGAGCTTCCCCAAGCCAAATCTAGATTTACGTTCCTGGAGAAATACTAAGTGTGACCTTCTTTATTTTCTGCTAACCGCTTCTTGTGCTTTATATAGGCCAGTTGCCTTCCCTCGACTGAATTGGGCAGAGGGGGTAGCAAATCCAAATTAATGTCAATTTAAGACTTTGAAGTTGGCACTCAATATTTGGCCAACCATCGGTTGAGCTGCCCGTGTTTTGTGGCCGTCGAAATATCTACTACAAATAGTGGTTTACGGACCCACCTCTAGCATACTCCCCTAGCCCACCCCACTTTATCCAAAACAAGGAATTGCAATCTTCTCCACAACGGACGAGGGAGAGCTCTTGTGTGCCTTTCTTTCATCTCCTTTTCTCAGCTGAGGTAACCTAGGCAGGAGACCAAAGGATGAGATTAGGGGATGGGAAATTAAGGCCAAGCTAGGTCAGTTCATATATTACAGCTCCCGGTCTAAATTTCAAGGGACTCTGAGGTAAGATACAGTTGATGAAAGTCGGGTGGGAAGCCACATCCCAGACCTATCAGCACATAAAAGGATGCTCTTTATATTAACCCCTTTGTGCCAACTCAAGCTGGACGTCTTGAACTCTGGATTTATTTCTTCCTCATAATTAAAGTTGCAATGAAACAAGGAGTTGGGAAGCAGTAGAAAGAGAGAATGGAAGCCCAAGAAGAGAATAAGAGAACAATAGACTTGGAAGGGACCTTGGAGTTTTTTGGTCTTCTAGTCTAACCCTATGCTCTTTCAGACAAGGGGCTGTCCGGTTCTCTTGTTAAAACCCTCCAGTGATGGAGCACCCACAACTTCTGAAGGCAAGCTATCCCACTGATGAATTGTCCTCACTGTTAGGAAATTTCTCTTAGCATTTCTCCTAGTCCTAATTGTGGCTGCAAGTCAGAGATGACCTGTAGGCCAGACATCATCACCCAGATGAAGTTGGAGAAGCTTGATCAGAGAGAGGACGGTCTAATTTCAGTCTTAGGTCATGCAGTGGTCCATTAGGTGCATGGACAGGCGGGCTCACCCCATTCCATTGTTACCTTTTTTTCCAATTGATATTTAAGGCATGCTACCTTAGATCCTGGAGGCAACATCTGGTCCTCAAAACTAGCCAACCTCCAGGAGATAAAAGAACAGTGAGGTTGTGGTAGAGAAGACAATCCTAAACCCTCGAAGGAATGCTAGTTATCGTTGATTAGAGGCCATTCTTTCTCTTTAAAACTTTAATTGCTGGGGGTGTAGCAAATGAAGATTTCTTGGTGGTCTTTGTGCTTGGCTGAGTAGCAGTGATGATGTTACCTCTTTGGGTAATGAAAGGTCTGCAAGAAAATAACCCAGCTCATTTCAACCCCGAGCTCCAAAGATTCCCCTTTATTGGTAGAGCAAATCTAATAAATACATTAAAAGTAGCAGGCAGGAGACTGAAGTAGCTTCAAGTGTGTTTGACATCCTAGCATGGATACGAAGAAGCATTTCTAGAATCCCGATCTTTAATTGCACAGGTCATCCCTACGGGCTCATGAAGTCTTCATTGTTCGGTCTGGCCTTCCCAAACATGACCCAGATTTTTATGTCCGCTTGTGGCCTTGCCAAACATTCCACAGCACACCAAGGCAACCTTTCGGGAAGGCGTGAGACAAAACACCTCTGCAGACATCCAGGAGACTTCTTTAATGAGAGGCCATACAAAACCCAAGCCAATCATAAGGGCATGCCCTCCGGCTCTGGAAGACTTGAGGGAAAGCAGGCAGGTTGCTCAGGATGCCAGGTCTGCAGGTGGTAGCTGGAAAAGAGCTATTTTCCAACAGAAATGGTCCTCTGAGAAGGGCGGTCCAGCTGGTTATATCTCCAAGGGGTTCTTCCCCGTTCTTGGCTGAAAGCAGCTGCCGAGGGAACAGCCTGCCTCCAGAAGTTGTGGGTGCTCCATCACTGGAGGTTTTCAAGAAGAGACTGGACAGCCAATGGTCCAGAATGGACTAGGGTTCCTCCCAACCCTATGATTCTATGTTCTGCGCAGCATTGGGGAATACTGGTTTGGGTGGGGCATCTAACAAAGAAGTGCTAGGATTGTGAATGAGATGGCAGGGAGGTTTATGGTATCCTCTGCTGCCTTCCCCTGCCCTCTGGATGGGAGTTATTGATCTTCTCCTGCCCCATAAGACTCTCTACCTCATCTGCCACTTTTTCAAGATGGTTTTAATTTATGAAAACAGAAAGGGGACAAGCTGTAAAGGGAGGCCCCCTTGTTGCACCTTGCAACTGCTTGCAAGAATGGCTTTGCACCTTATGAAGATCCCATTGGGACGATATGGAATATTTGGAAGTGGGGGGAGAAGAGGAGGAGGAGGAGGAGGGGAGGGGTCCAAAACTTAAAACACTTGCAAGACCCATCCATCATCAGTTTCCACTCTCCACCTCTATTAAGATCAGAAGAGGGGAAAACGTGTTTGAGTCATGTTTTTAAGCAATCTGATTTTTGTTGCAATTGCTTCGACTGTTCCTGGTTCCAAAAAAAGCTCTTTTCTTTGAATTTTGCAGTGCGTTCTGGGTCCTGAAGTGTTGCAGGTGGAACCTGTGTGTCTTAGGAAAAGATTCATATGGAAATGTGTACCTTAAAGAAAGATGCCATCATACATGTAGGTATTAAGAAAATTGTGTGCAAAAAGCACACTGTTCTCTGTGTGTGTATGTGTCTGTCTGTCTGTGTCTCTCTTTCTCTTTCCCTCAAAATGTATACTTTGGGGGAATACACACACACACAGAGAGAGAGAGAGAGAATATCACAGAAAAAATAAAGAATTCATTAGCTGAGACGTGAGACAAAATGTATGTGAAACAGGAACCCCAGCAAAATTTCCTAATGCACAATTCAACTGAGTCACACTATCCAAATATGAGGCAAAATTATCCCAGATTAATAAAATGACTCTTGGGCAGATTATGGTAACCAAGTAACCCTCACCACATTTGCTCAGTTATAAACAGATTATGGGTCCAGATAAATTTGAAATGGATTATGGATCCAGATAAATTAGATTACGGGTCCAGATAAATTACGGGACCAAATCAATTTGAAACAACATTTTGGAATTCATTTTAAGAATCATTCCTGTGGGGAAACACTGTGTTTTTTTCAGTTCTTTGGTTGGACACTAAAATGAACTGGAAAGAACCAATGATTACTCTTCAAGAACATTTAAATTCAACTTACAAATTTCACGCCGGTCGAAGGGGCATGTCAAAATCTGTTTTCCGACACAACAAAAATGGCAGAAACCCACGGAAGTCTTCACCATGATTACGATGGGACTGACACCTTAAACAGCTCTGGCAGCACGAAAGAGAATTTTAAACAGCATCTGGAGAGGAGGTTTTGAAACGGTGGCTTTTCATTAAATGTGCTTGTTGTGGCAGTGAAGAGAAGCCTTTTTTCATCTAGGGGTTTCTGTTTGCTTAGGTGTCAAAAGATGGGCAGGGAATAAGGGAAAGGGTTGGTCCAGATCCCTGTGTAAGAGGAGCTATGGCTGAACATGGAAGAAAGCCTGTTTCAAGCAATAACATTCATATCACAGAAAGGCGCAGATAAAATCAGCTATAAAACCAGCTCTTTTATGTTCAGATTCAGACAAAAGGCAGCAGAGTGGTTTCATAGCCTCTTCCTTTCTCCAATAACCTTATGAAGGAGCTCCCTCTAGCTCACAAATTTGCAGTTATGGGCATCTATTTCTCTCCCGTGCCTCAATTTAACCCCCTCCCCTTTGTTTACAGACGGGAGAAGAGGGGAGACTTTAAATAGCTGGATAGCTATTTCTTGCTGAACAAAGTTTTTTTTTTGAAAAATTACTTGTCTGCCTTTCATTCCTCAGGACCAATTCAGAAGTGGATGAAAATCGGTGTAGGGATGGTGCCGGATTTGGTCAATCACATCGTTGGCCTTTTTTTTTTAATTGCTCAGAATTTTTTTTTTTTTTAAATGGTTTATTCTATTCTGAAAGGAAGGAACGCTTGGATTGGACTGGACTGGGTCTGTTTCCAAAATAAATTCTCCTGTAAGTATTTTACTACAAAAAAACAACCGGCGGCGTAAACCTTCTCTGCCAATTTGCTATGAATATGGCATGGGCTTTTGGCAGATGGGAGATTTGCACCTTCTTATTAGATTGTAAATAACGTTTGGATTTTTGAACATTTATTTAATGAACAAAAAGGATATTTTTTTAAAAAAAAATGCCCTAAACCCAGCCTGAGTTAATCATGCATTTATTTCATCTACCGCCTTGTGCTGAAATGCTAATTTTGGTGGAGATTAAGGAGATGTTTTTACAAGAATAATACCCCACATCTATTTAAATAAACTGCAAAATGATAAGCAGACCAGCAACTAAGGAAAAGAGTTAATTAAGAATCTCCAAGGTAACTTCTATTCCTTTGTTAACAAAACACAAATGTCAAGGGACGGTTATTTTATCTTTAACTGACCAATCACCCACTACGCATACAGTCGGAGAGAGAACAGTCATAATTTTATAACATCGCAGTTCTAAATACACCAATAAACCTATTGGATATATTTACACCCTCCATCTTATACACACCAGCTCCCGTGTTTTCACTTTATCTTAGCGGCTCCCCATATATCCTTTCATATATATATATTTTTTTCTGCAACTACAATTAAAAAGAAGTTTATTTATACAAATATGTAAAATTAACACACCACCTCTGGAGATAAATAGGCAGAGAAAGAAGGCAGAGGTACGAAATTCCACAAGGGCTGAAATTAACTATTGATGAAGCATAGACTGATCAATTTATATATCTGTGGCAAGCAGCTTCTATTAAAAAAAAACCTTTAAGAAAAAAATATGTGGCTTGAATCCATTCATTAATGAAGCAGTTTCTTAGCAAATTCATACAGAGAGAAAGCTAGTTTTTTTTTTTTTTTTTTTTTTGGTAAGGCATTTTGAAATAAGATTTTGGGATAAGATCTTGAGGCGATTTCTTCGCTAATCAGATATCTTGTGCACCATATGCTTTTCAACTTTTCAGCGGTGATAATTTTTTTGGCATGTTCTTCCTTTTGTGTCTTTGTTACACGCTGCTCAGAACCCCTTCTTGTGAGCTGAGCAGCCATATAAATTTTATATATAAATAAACAATCTTTTTTTTAAGAGAGTCTTATAGAGAATCCATGACACTTAACGAGCAAGCATTTCTATATTTCCAAAATTCAAGTATCAAAACTGAAACGGTAGCTGTTCAAGAATTACCTCCTTACCGAATGGATTAATTAATCACATTTCAGTCGGTCTAATGTTATTTTCAAACAGGAGATTAAGAAGAGAGTTCTATCTTGCATTGGAAAAAAACGAAGAAGAAACATGTCAAAAAGAGTTATTTTTTGATTTCTTTGTAGTGAGAATTTTCTCCGATGATCAGTCACTGCGTATTCATCATTGACCTGCCTGGCTGGATGGTCTTCTTCAAGGCTTGCTTAGAAGTAAATTCTGTAATTTTTAACACAAAGAATTACACTCTAGGGAAGAATATTCCTCAGCCATTCGGCCTTAGGGATAGAACCAGCTAAATCTTTAAGGCCTTGGAAATGAAGTTAATTTTGTCTTCCCTAGCAAGAATGCAGTTGTTATTTAAAAAAAAAAAAAAATCCTTGAGAAAGGGAGAACGACATTAGGAAAAGCACATTGGATCAGCTGCCCCTTGCCCTTTCAAATAAACAAATAAGGATGTCTATTCCATAATCAAATATTCCAGATTTTTTTCTCTCTCTTTCAGCCCAGATGCTGATTTTGTCAAAGATCCTGTAGCGCAGTTGTATATTCAAATCAGGGTATTGCGAGGAAGAAAGAAGGGGAAGAAACAGAAACACAGCCTGAAGAATAATCAGAATTATTTGAATTCGTCACCGTTTATCCTTTTTTTCCCAAAAGGTGGGTAGATGAACAGGAGGGATTAAAGAAATTGCCTACGGAGCATGCAAACAAGCCTCAAAATATATTTCTGCTGCAAAAACACGTATTCTCATTAGCAATTGCTATTTTGCCTTCTTTTCATAACGGGTAATAATAATAGCCAGGTCCCTTTTTAAAAGCAAAATAAATGGTTATTGTACAGCCGGGGTGCTGTCATTCCTTAACTGTTCGCCTTTCTTTTATCTTAATTATCTCTGGTAATGCCATGATTCTCCCTCTTATTTCCCAGGATTCAGCCTAGGAAAAATAACCTTATTTCAAACAATAATGATTTTTCTACTGCCATAAATAATTCAAGCCTCCACTTTAAGTATGTAAAGGAAGAAATTAAAGTCTCCAGCAGAAGCTGCAACTGTTGTATTTGAGAGACACACGTGCATGCCTATAATCTTCATATATTTTCATATATGCGTGAAGAGTATATAGTTATCTCATTGATAAATACGAGGTTTGCTTGAATTTCGAATCTGTTTCTTTTGAAAAGCATTTTCTCCTTTAGGTTAAGATTTGGTGGTATGTATAGCATGCACACACATATACACCATACATACATAGGCAAGCAAGAATTAAAATGCATGGTTCTTTATATGCGTGAGGCTTTTTTTTTTAAAGGAAGAAACAGCAAAATCCGGTTTATTCTGCGCGTCAAATTTTATCTGTTGAGTTTTGCAAAATGATCCGTTACAAAAATTAAAAAGCATGAAAAATCGCGTTGTTTCTCAAGGCGATTTTTTAAAATTATTATTTTGCTTTGTTTTAACAAAATGTACGCGTTTATAAATATTTTGCGTTGGCACCCATTGTAATCTAACGTGAAAGCCTGCGTATATCTTTTAGCCTTCCTGTGTATTTTTTTTTTTTTTTATGATTTTGTCAAATTCTGCACATTTGAAGGATCTCCTCTATTCACCAGGAAACTGTTGTGGAAAATTTGTTTTGCGTGTCCAACACCAACAGGGGATTGTGTCGCCACAAGGATCTTAGAAACAAAATTGAAAATTTTGGGGAAAACTGCAATTCAGATGAAATCTTTAAGCAGCTTGGTTTGCGGCAGTGTTCGTATTTGGAAGTATCAATTAAAGGAAACAAACTCCTTTCTTGTACAGTAGCCTTTTAGAAAGAGGCAGGAGGGGCCAGTCAGCAAACCAACGTTGTTGTTGTTGTTTCGCTGAATAAAGTCATCTTCGTTTCATATCCTGCCAACATAAAAATTGCAGTTCTCTGGTCTGCCAGGGAATGGGTCTTATCGCAACAAGCTTGGCTTTGCCTGTGACAGAGCAGGCTACAGAGAAATGCATATCTGATTTATTTAGCCCTGCCAGACAAATGGCTAACCAAAGATTGGCTGAAATTTCTTGATATACAGCTGGAGAGGAGAAATCTGGGAGACTGAATAAACCAAGGGGTGCAAAAACTGAATGACCCAGCTCTAGGTTCGAAACGGGTTTAAAGGCCTGTGATTGAACCCAATGAGAGTCTTAATCAAGGCTGATTTGTAACAGAATAACGGAGCTGGAAGGGACCTTGGAGGTCTTCTAGTCCAACCCCTTGCTCAAGCAGGAGACCCTATACCATTCCAGACAAAGGGCTGTCCAAGCTCTTCTTTAAAAACCTCCAGTGTCGGTGCATCCACAATTCCTGGAGGCAGGTCGTTCCACTGCTTAATTGTTCTCACCATTAGGAAACTCCTCCTCAGTTCTAGGTTGATTAGTTTCCATCCGTTGCTTTTTGTCCTGTCCTTGGCTGATTTAGACAATGGGAAGACCCTTAAATAGCTGGTTAAAAAAACACAACATTCAGATTTCACCAAAGAAAAACATAGAACTAAAGTGTCCGGGACGATATCCCAACATAATCCCTTGTGAGTCTCTCTCTCTCTCTCTCTTTCTCTCTGTCTCTCTCTCTCTCTCTCTCTCTCTCTCTCTCTCTCTCTCTCTCTCTCTGTGTGTGTGTGTGTGTGTGTGTGTGTGTGTGTCTCCCCTAGAATCCTTCTCCTAGGGAGGCAGCAGCCAAAGAAACAAAGGCGAATCCTCAGAAGCTGCTTAGCAAAGCTCAAGTGATGAGAACTGGGCTGTGATGGGTGATTTAAAGAGCTCATAAACAGCTGGCAGCAGGCTGGAGATTCTGCAGAAAGCAATAAAAAAGAGGTTTTTTTTAAAAAAAAAAAACAGAAAAGAAAATATTCTTCCCGATTGTAGGTCTTCTCTGTTTACCTTATCCGGAATTCACGGTCTTAAGACCCTGGAGCAAATTGAGCATGTTTGTTGCGTGAGGTCAACTATCCCTGAGAATATATTTCTGGGTGCAATACAGACGTTGCCCCCCCCCCCGCACGCACACTCCTCACCCCTTTTACAGTACTCCTTGACTTATGACCCCAAATGAGCCCCAAATTTATTTCGCTCAGCGAAACGGTTGCTCAGTGAGATTGGCCCCATTTTTACGGCCTTCCTTGCCACCATTGTTATGTGAATTGCATGCAGCAGTTGTTAAGTTAGAAATGTGGTCGTTAAGCGAATTTGGCTTCCCCATTGACTTTGCAAAAGGGGATCACGTGACCCCAGGACACTGCAACCGTCATAAATACGAGTCCGCTGCCAAGGGTCCAAATTTTGATCGTGTTGGCTGTTGGGATGCTGCAACGGTCGTCAGTGTGCCAAACAAAAATAATTGTTTTCAGCGCCATTGTAACTTAGAATGGTCACTGAATGAACTGTCGTAAGCCGAGGACTACCTGTATTTCTATGTATCCATGCATGCATGTGCCTGGCATGGCTTTGGCTTCTCTGCCCCGTTGTAGCCCTTCCTGGGAAGATTTTGTTAGCCGTGGTCTAGACGTTGCTGAGTTTCTCCCTCCCTCCTCGCCTCCCCAGCGCTAGTGGTAATTTAAAATTGTTTGGGATAAACTCGGCTTCTTAAGCCCAGGGAGCCAATAACAATCTCCAGTTCCCTGACCTCTGTTGCAGCATCAAACGCCCAGCTCCAGCCTGTTCGGTTCAGTTGTGGGTCAGAAAGGGTGACCTCCCTCCACCTTCCTTGTAGGTTTTAAAATTGTTTTGAGAAAGAAGAGGATAATAATAACTATTGCAAGAGAGGGAGAAAGAGAGAGAGAGAGAGAGAGGCAGAGAGAGAGAAAGAGACAGAGAGAGGGAGATAGAGGCAGAGAGAGGGAGAAAGAGAAAGAAAAAGAGAGAGAAAAAGACGGAGAGGGAGAAGGAGAAAGAGAGTGAGAAAGACAAAGAAAGGGAGAGGGAAAGAGAGAGAGAAAGGGAGAGAGGGAGGGAGAGGGAGAAAGAGAGAGGGAGAGAGGGAGAGGGAGAAAAAAGAGAGAGAGAGAGAGAGAAGGGGGGGAAATGGAGAGAGATCATTGCAGACAATTTTGATTTTTGCCCTGCCTTTTCCTATGATGTAAAGAATTGGCTTGTTTCAATGGATGGTAGCCCTAGAAATAAAGCTTTGGCTAGAAAACCCCACTGAAACAACCCCAAAACAAATCGGAACGCAGATTGCTTTTGGCATCATCCAGAGACAGCACCACAATGCAAAGAAAAAAGGCTTTCAAAATGCAGTTCTGTCCTCTCTGTGTTAATGCAATCCTAGGTTGCATTAATAGAGGGGTAGAATTAAGATCATGTGAAGTATTAGTACCGCTATATATAAACCCTAGTAAGATCACACTTGGAATCCTGCATCCAGGTTTGATCACCATATCATCAAAGAAGATGTTGAGACTCTGGAAAGAGTGCAGAGAAGAGCAACAAAGATGATTAGGGGGCTGAAGGCTGAAAGGTTGCAGGAAATGGGTATGTCTAGTTTAATGAAAAGAAAAATTAAGGGTAACAAGATAGCAGCCTTCCAACATTTGAGGGGCTGCCACAAAGAATCAAAGAATTTTCCAAAGAACCAGAAGGCAGGACAAGAAGCAACGCATGGAAACTTATCAAAGAGAGGACTAATCTAGAACTAAGGAGAAATTTCCTAACAGTGAGAACAATCAACCAGTGGAACGCCTTGCCTCCAGAAGTTGTGGGTGCTCCATCACTGGAGGCTTTTAAGAAAGGACTGGACAGCCGTTTGTCTGGAATGATATAAAGTCTCCTGCTTAAGCAGGGGGTTGTGATCACATTGTGGTGATGCCAGGGTGTCCCCCAAAGCTAGAAGGCCCGAAGCTTCTGCAGCAGCAGCAAAGCAACCTATAGGGATCTTCCCTATCTTCTCCTTTGGTTGATATTACGGTGATGGCCACTGAAGTCCTTCAGATGTTTGTAAGAAAACTCCTCATCACCCCAACCAAGATTTCAGTGTATACCGGTGGCATATCATGCATTAAAGAAGGCCAATCCTATTTCTATAGCTAAGAAATTATCAAACGTTTTTGAGTTTCGGTTGTCCTTCAGTTGACTTGAGTGTGATGGGTTAAACAACTTGCAGCCCATTCTATCTAGCAGATAAGACTTTGTGCAAGGATATTAAAATCCAGGTGAGCATTCAGGAATCTGGAATGCTCACCTGGATTTTAATATTCTTGCACAAAGTCTTACCGAATATGGAATTCTTACAACATTTGAGTCATGGGTTTTAAAATTATTTTCTTTTCAGGAAGTGACTGCTTCTACAAATATTTTCCTTGAGGACCTACGATGATGAAGAAAAAAAGACATGGATCTGAATATTTCAAATTGGTAAGTCGTAATTTTTTTTTGCTGAACTGAGAGGAATGATAAAATGGGAAGTGGTTCCATTCCCTGGAAATTTATAATTATAATAATGAAAGTACTTTAAAGAGAAATAGTCTATCCCCTTCCTTTTATAATCCTGGAAAAGCAGAAAAGGTGCAAAAGCTTTTTTTAAAAAAAACAAAAACAGAATATAATACATACCAAAGAAACTGAAAATACAGATTAAAGCTTGCCGCAATCTTCATAAATAATCATCTCTGATAATGTCAACTGCTCAGATATAACAAAATTGAGGGCCTGTTATGAGTTATATGCATAGAATGCCTGCGTCTTGGTTTGGATTGTGATTATTTAAATTTAATTTTCTGTATTTCTGCATCTGATTATGATGTTAATATTACATGTATGGACTTCCCAATTCAACACTGGTGTATGCATTAAGTTAAATGCAAACCATGCATTTTTAATATATATATACATATTTATATATATATATATATATACTTTTCTAAAATTAAAAACGCATGTGAGATCCTAATTGGGACCCTCTCCATATTGAGATTGAGTCTTTTGTACCATTAAAATCCTAGGTTTTAAAAAGAATGATTTAAATCCGTTTCTTGAGTGTAAACGGTAGCATATTTGGGAATAGAAGAGATGGAGACATTCTTATTTTTTTTCCGTCTCTGGTTTCCTACTTTCTATTTTTCTCTTTGGTTGAGCATTCTCATCATTGTAAACCATAGTGGGCTCATTTGAGCTTTACTCAATCACATCAGCCAGGATTGCTTAATGTGCTAAGTCTTAAACTATGATTTAGAAAGTTGGTTGAATAAATTAAGGTGGAGCGAACATATGTATAGTAAACAACAACCGTCATTATCTAGGTCTGTCCAGGAGGTGTTATCAAAAATGACAAAATGGGTGCGCTTAAATTTTATTTTAACAAAACCAAGCTTGAGAAGGACATACGAGGAGGAGGAGGAGGAGGAGGAGAGAAAAGTGAAAAGCACGTAACCCCCACCTGCAAACATATTCTCTTAATCCAGAATCTGTTCTAACTTTTTCACCATTTGGGAGATTTTAGAATAACAGAAAAGCAGAGTTGGAAGGGACCTTGGCGGTCTTCTAGTCCAGCCCCCTGCTCAACCAGGAGACCCTATCACATTCCAGGCAAAGGGTTGTCCAACCTCTTTTTAAAAATTAACCTAACTTCTGGAGGCAAGTCGTTCCACTGATTAATGGTTTTCATTGTCAGGAAATTTCTCCTTAGTTCTAGGTTGATTCTCTCCTTGATTATTTTCCATCCGTTCCTTCTGGTTCTGCTTTCAGGCACTTTGGAGAATAGTTTTACCCCCCCCCCCACTTCCTTGTGGCAGCCCTTTAGATATTGGAAGCCTGCTATCATGTCACCCCAAGTCCTTCTTTTTATTAAACTAGACAGACCTAATTCCTGCCACCCTTTCATCATATGATTTCGCCTCCAGATTGTCTCCTCCAGATGTGCCAAATGCTTTAGCTTCACCCCCCCCAGTGGCTCCCACAACCACTGTCCAGTGCTGGTGCACATCTGGACAATGCACACACACCCATGCCCGAATGGAAATGCCGAGCTTGTTTTTTATTTTTATTTTTTCAAAAAATGCTTTCATTTTTTTTTGCAACTACGAATGAGAGAGAGGTCAGGAGCTAACCCTGACAAAGGAGACTAAATCCATTCCACAGGTCTGTCTCCCCTCTAGGCTAGGCCCACGTTAGCTCTGTTGGCCATTTCTTTGGCATCCCTTTGTAGTCACTCAAGAGTCGGTTGAAACAATGGCGGTATTTTTGTGCCGAGACATTATTTGGAAGAGGCCACCGTTGGCCCATCCTTTGATGCTGCAGCCTGTGTTCACCAGGGTGTGCAAAACCTTGTAAACTGATCCCCTGCAGCAGCATTTTTTTAAGACTACATCACCCACAGATAAGACAAATGCATTCTACTCCCCCCCCCCCCCAAGAGCCCTTGAGGATCAGAAATGACTGCTGTTTGAGCAGCCCGGGATGAAAGAATGTGGAAAAGAAAAGAACTAAGTTCAGCTGCCCATTCTTCTGCAAAAGGTAGTAGAATTCTACCACTGCTGGGTGAGCTGGGTGGGAAACCAAACTGAAACAAATTGAAATAAACAGGGGTCAATCAACCAGAATAAAGCTGGAAGGGGCCCTGGAGGTCTTCTAGTCCAACCCCCTGCTCAAGCTTTTAAGAAGAGTCATTTCAGACAAATGACTCTTTTTAAAATCCTCCAGCATTGGAACATCCACAGCAAGGCAAACCATTCCACTAGTTAATTGTTCTTCATAGTTAGGAAGTGTCTCCTTAATTCCAGGTTGCTTCTCTCCTTGATTAGTTTCTATCCGTTGTTTCTTACCTTGCCTTCTGGGTGCTTTGGAAAATAAGTTGACCCCCCCCCCTTCTTTGTGGCAGCCCCTCAAACACCGGATCAGGATGATAGTAATAGAACTTAGACTTTCTAAGCAATTTACAGTTTACAGTTTACAGCCTCTCGCCCCCACAATAATCTGGGTCCTCATTTTACCCACTTTGGAAGGATGGAAGGCTGAATCAACCTTGAGCTCGTCAGGACCGAACTTGGAGCTGTGGGCAGAGCTAGCCTGCAATGCTGTATTAATCTAACCCCTGTGCCACCAGGGCTGAATCTGCAAGGGACTGCAAGAATTCTGCTTGGATGGGGTGAATGACCAGAAGAAACATCTTGAGAAAGTTTCTTAGTTCATTGGAATTGTTACCCAGTTGGGTCATGAAACATCTGCAAGAAAACAACCAAGTTCAGAGAGCGCCACGATCCAAAATGTCCATTGATGTCCATTGAGTGGATGGATTTGGTCTTTGCTTCCCTCCATAGAGAAAGAAGAAGAAGAAGGCTATTAGTAAAGTAAGCCTATCCCCGCCACCACTACTTGGCTTACCTTAAACTCTGGACTCTAATGCTCTTTCCCCTTTTTTCCAGGGGAGTGACTGGTTTTCCCAAACTGAAGGGATAATTTTAGGTGGCCATCTGAATAAATTGTCTAACCGGGCCAAGGTCCGGGACTCTATTAGGTTGCTTTCCATATCGCAATATTGGTGTAGTTAATAATGATTTTGCAGTAATTTTAAAACAGTATTAAGAAGGCATCAATAATTCAATCCGTGCTCAGGAAAACCAGCCCGAGTCCCAGGCAACTGAGAATAAAAGCGAGAAAAATCATTAGTCAAAGTTAATGTTAGATTGATTAATTTTTGAGTCCTGGACTTTCTCCCCCCCCCCCTTTTTTTTTTTTTTCCTTCCCTTGAGTGATGGGAGCAGCAAGCAAAGCTTAGGCCTTCCTTGGTATCTTGCAGTTTCTATGGTAACACATTCTTAGTGCAAAGCGGGGTCACCCACAGCTTAATGACAGAAAGGCGGGGGAGAAAAAGAGAGAGAGAGAAAGAGAGAGAGAGAGAAAGAGAGAGAGAGAATAACACTTAAGTAGCAGTGACAATGTATGTTAAACATCCTTAACTCCTGAGAATTACCCTCAGGATGTCATCAACCTCCAACACGATGGTTCCAGGGTCCCGCCAAATTAAATTAAAATAATAAAATCAATCAACATTGGGCATCGCTATTTTTAACTCCTGAGATGCTGCCCACCGTCCCTTTTTGTATCTTCGTCTTATATCTGGACAGGTGGACAGTGATGGGTTGCAACCATCCACCGTTCCAAAGAAGTGCTCTGGGACTCAAATGAGACCCAGAATCTTTTTTTTTTTTTAATTAATAAAGATGATTCTGGAAGCTTTGAGGCAAAGGAAGACCAGCTCCAAATCATTTGTTCTGAACTGAAAGACTATCAAAAAGTCAAGCAGAGGAAGGATTCTGTAGGGGGCCAGGTATGGTGTCCATCAGCCTCTAGAGAACATGATCCCAACCTCTGCTGTAGCTCCCTTTGTGGGAAGTTTGAGGGCTTAGAAAATTATCCTGCAGCCCCATCTCTTTTTCAGTGGGGAGCAAGTAAGTCACCAAGGATCTCCTTTGAAGATCCCAAGAGTTGGGAAACTTTATGGAAATGCACATCTTGGCTTGGCTTGGCAGCTCACCATAACCTGGAGCTATCTCTCTTCATCCCATGAAAAACATGTAATCGAGGCGTGACCAAATCCGTTTGCAGATTTTTCCTTTCAGATGTTGGAAAGCCAGCCCATCCAACCTGAACGGTGGCTGGTTTGGCCACTTTGAACGTAGACAAAGCGTTGTTTCTACAGACTCCCTGTCTCTGGCTTTGCAATCCAGCTGATTGGCGCCAAACAAGCATGCTACTTGTTCTTATGTGTTCCAGCAGAAGGAACACATAAGAACAAAACATCAGTGCAATGCAAGGATGTTCCCCAGACTACGTCAAGCTCTTACAACACTCAAGAAGCATGTTGAAGATTTGGAAACCCAGTTTGGTCCAATCTGCCCTATCCAGAAAGATATTCCTCTGTATCTTTTGAAGCCAGGAAGATACTAGAAAGCAAACAACTGTCCCTAAGCTACAAAGAGCCCTCGCTTTAACACATGTCAATGTCCTTTCAAGGGATGTTCTCCTGAGCCAATCGAGCTACGATTGTGCTCTTATGGAGAAGAAGGATCCATAATAATGACTATGACTATTACAGAAGCTTGATCAATGAAGGCCAACACCCTATGAAGAGTGAAAGTCTCTTGGAAGACTGGAGGGCTCCAAAGACCACTGTTTCAGGCATTTCACTTCCATGGAGTGTTCCTTGTACCAGTGGTATCTCCTTCTCCTACCAAGATGCCTCTTCATCAATGGCTGCTGGTTGGTTGGTTCAAAGTCTTCAAAGAAAACCACCAGGCTTAGAAAGCAGTAAGTACCCCACTGCTCCCCTCTCCTCCTTCCCCATCCCTCCTCCTCATGTCCTCTGCAAACCCTGCCCCTTCTAGCACTGATGATGTTGCATAGATGGACCATGAAAC